TACGTGGGAGTCGAACTCACGTCTTTCTTAAACTGGGTAGAGTGCCTAACCACGAGACGATCATAAACGAAGGACAGACACTGAGATTTTCTATTTTAATGTTGGTTAGTTGTTATTGTTGTTTAAATAATCCTATATTTCAAAGAAACGAACTGGTTAACCCCGGGAATTGGGTTTCTTTATTCAGCAGCTCGAACAATCAATCGCATCACCCAGAGTGAGGAACTATGAACTGGAGGAAGCCTTTCTTACCACGTTGACTGCTATTACCATTTCTAAAACAGGATATTGACGAAGGAGAATTCTATGGAACTGTATGTATAATAAGGTGGATACATTTGAAAAACGGTCTCTTTGAATCGGCAGGAAATCGCAACGGTGGTACACCCGCTGCCGCTTTTAATAATGCAGATCTTTCTAGATTGAGTCTACCGTCTTTCCTGACTTCCAGCTGCTATAGAAAGTGAGTTCACAGTAAGGAACTAAATGCACTTGAACCAATACAAAATGCAGTCGGAAAGCTTGCTAGCTACAACCATACCATTATTTGGAAGGGGGGGGGGGAGGCATACGCACTGAAATTTTACCCCTCTTTTCGATATTTCAGCACCATCCCATTTTGCCCCTATCTTTTCCTATTTCTTCTGCTTTTCTCACCCTCATACAATTCTCCTCTCCTTGTCTACTCCATTTTTCATTTTCTATCTCCTTTTACCCCCGCACTTCATTTTCTCACCTCTTCTCATTTTCTCCTCTTTAATTTCTTTTTCTTTCCTCATCTCTCCGTGTTTCAGTCTCTTTCTTGTCCACTTCCTCAAACTTTTCTTCCTCTCCTGGTTCTTCCGTTTATGATGCAGACACCACTAGCTCTCATCACGCACTCCCCCTCCCCCTCTCAAGTTATTTCCATGTCATATTTTTTTAAAGAAAGTTTTGTCGACACCAGCGATTACACTTTGACTATCATCTACCAGCAATACGTTTGTGAGCTTTTACACACACTCATTCCAGCATTACCGCAATTGCCCTTTTCCCCCTAGCATGTTAGCGATCCATTAGCATCTGAGCGTTAACTCTTCTGCATGATGCCATTCGGTATCCCCCTAACATAAAGTTGCACTGTTTGGTATAACTGGGTGAATATGCACATACATACACACAGGCGTACCTTTCTCTCTCTCTCCCTCTCTCTCCCTC